AAAAATCTCATTGCCACAAAGCGTGCTTGCAAACATGCCAACGTATCTGACAACAACTTTTCTTTTGTACTCAAAAAGGAAACATAACCACAAGAAGAAAAAGAAAGAAAATAACAAGTTACACTTGCACAACAGACACTGGCTTATTTACACAGTGTGTAAAATGACTAGGCTGGAATTTGAAATAATGGCTTAACACATGTTTACCCTCTTCTGCAACCCAGATGTGTTCTGACCTGGTGATAAGTGGAAGGGCAGCTCAGGAAGGGCATGAGGTCAGCATGGATCTTATCTGGTCAAGGTGATACCTTTTTCATGGCCACAAAGTATTCTACTTAAAAAGCATTTTAAAACCTCTCCCAATCTACAGTAAAAATGTTTATTCACACTGCTTTTAAAGTGCATCTAAAGTCAAAAAACATTAGTAGTATTGTAGCTTATCAGTTTTGTCAGTTCTTAAGATGTGGTAACTGTATTAGTTTCCTTTTTTTTCTTCTTGTATTTGCATTTGGTGATCATGTCAGGAATACTTCCTATCCTAGGGTGACAATGTTCTCTCACTGTAGTGTGTCTATGGAGGAGCAGCGTTGTTACCATAGGTTACTTGCTCTTGCTGTGAACTACAGAATACCTCTCCTTCACAACACATGGCTGAAGCATTTTGTAGTCTATAGAGGTGACTAAGGTAGAGAGGATAACACCAAAATGAGATTCCAGTGCAGCAAGTGAAAAACTGGCAGTTAGAAGCCAACTTGATCCTCGTTCACATCATACGTGCAGAAAAACTGATGGAAACTGATGCGCAGATTTCACTTGCAGAGACACCAATTTACATTAGTTTTCATGCGCGCTTCAATTAGATTTTTATACGTTGCCGATTTCTGCACAGAAAAAATCTGCACATGATACGAGAGTTGTGGAGTGAACAGGTCACAGAGAGCAATTGATTTTGTTGTGCCCTTGCCGAAAACATGCAAAAAAAAAAAAAAACAGGTATCTACACCATGGTGTGAACAAGCCCTTAAAGTGATAATAAATCTTACATTTGTTTTTATTAAAATAACCAACATGTTATTCTAACCTGTTCTGTACAGCCCTGATCCTCCTCTTCTCGTGTCCCTTGCCGGCACTATCAGCTCCTCCTCTTCTCCGTGTGCCACCATAGGAAACTGCTTCCTATGGTGGCACACATGGGGGCTCGTTCCTGAGCTCTGCTGTCTGTGTCTTTTGTCCCACAATTTGATTGAAAGGAATGGGAACCAATGGCTCCCACTGCTATCAATCTGCCCAGTGAGGAGGGACAGTGCTGCTGCTCTCGTGCACAATGCTGAATTGTGTGTGTGTGTGAGGGAATGCTGGGGAGGGATCCTCCAACACAAGGCTTTTTTACCTTAATGCATGAATGCATTAAGGTAAAAAACCTTAAGGCTTTAAAACCACTTTAATTTCTGGCAGGATTACTAGGTATTATTTTGTACTTTAACAGGCAAAACAAAAAGCGCACATGCATTGCAGAAAGTTAATACTTTTTTTCCCCAAGATCCACACTTTAACACCAATATCATAAAAACGGAATCTTGTCATTTTTAACCAACAGCATGTACTGAATACATGCTGTCAAATTTCCTTCCATTAATCTATTCCCAACTACCCTAAAGCCAAAGCTTTGTTCTTACAGTGTTTCTAAACTCAGGACCTCACATTCACTATATCTGCTCTCCCACAGTACATAGAACATGGAAATGCTATTATTTTAGTAAATATAAACTGCTAAATAGCTTTTCTCATCAGCAGTATATAGCGGTCTTGTGGCTTCTATCAGTGTCCAGCTGAGCACTGGTTAAAACTTGTAGGAGATTTAATTCTCCTCTGACTGTCCTATGATGCTGCATGACCTCTGACCCTCTGTCTGGACAGTGCTGATTGGCCCTGTGCTGATCACATGCACCCTTCTAATGAAAAAAAAAACTCTAGCAATACACACTAAACTGAGCATGCGCATAGTGACTCCTAGAGCTCTGTATGATCAGCAGATGGATTGGAGACAACAGAAGGGGAGGATCAGAGAAGAGAGGACCATACCGCCTTTTTCCACAATGTGGAGAGGTCACGGTGTGCCAGGCTCGCTCTCCCTCCTTACAGCTTGCCCCACCTCTCCCCCCTCTTATCCTGTCTTGGCCCTTTGAAGCTGGGCTGTCCAGGATGAGAGGTGTGACTCCTGTCACCCTCTGTCCCTATCTCTCCCCCTCTGGAGCAGCCGGAGGGGGAGAGATAGTCCCCTGAGGTGAGGTTCACAACCCTCTGGCCATTCGGCCAGAGAAGGGGCGGACCCCCCACAGGGATGTTCCAGGCCGCGGCAGTCAACCTGACGCCGCACAGCCCGGAGAAGGCAGCGCAGGCACGGAGTTTCCCGCGCCTGCACTTGCCAACTGACAAAGGTCGCGCTCCCGAGAGCGTGGCCCGTGTCAAGGTGGCGTGCCTCATGGCGAGGCACGCCACCCACGGTTGCCAGGACAACCGCAGACGCTCTACACCGGCCCTAAGGAGGCCGGTGGGGAGCGTTCCGGGTCGTTCTATCCGCTGTGCAGCTGCGGGGAGGTCTACGCCGCTCTGCAAATACTCAGATTAGGAGGACTATTACCACTGGCACTCTGCAGTTAATACTGAACTCGGGAGGATTATTACCGCTGGTGCTCTGCATTTATTAATCAGATTGGGAGGATCATTACTGCTGACACTCTGCACAATAAATAAGGCTGGGAGGATTATTACCCACGGAGTACGCTGCTAATACCCGGGACTCAGGGAAAGTACCAGCTGTTATACTGCCCGGACTGCGGGCCCAAGAGTACTGTGTGCTGTTGCTGGAGAATCAGGACTGGTACCTGCTGTTAGAACCCTCTGCTGTGTGCTGAGGAGGGTCGCCCTCCTGGCTGTCGTCTGCTGTGAACCCGGACATCCCTGCCGGAGCCGTGAGTGTCTGCACCCCTGCTTTATTCCCCTCTGGACTGTTCCTGAACTCTTTTCCTCTTCTTCTCCCTACTTGGATTACAAATTGGTAGACTCTCACCCCACCCCCTTGGGGCCGGATTACAATTATTTTGAGCCCTCTCCTTGCTATTCCACTAAACTGGGTACTGCCATGCTACCTGTAGACCCCAATTGAGTGACTGTCATTTCTTTAATAAAGCTTTGTGTGCTTATCATCTGCTCTGTTTGTTCTGTCCTGCCTATCTCCAGTCACAGGAGGATTAACCCCTTAGGTTCCGGAGTGAGTATAAAAAACATGTATTACTGCATATACAGACTGATTTTACCGATGTGGGTTTAGTAACACTAAGTTTTGGATAGAGTAAGGAATAGTTATAACCCTTGTCAATTTTCTTTTTTTCTTTTGCCATTTGCCATTGGGGAGGTTGACATTCCAGCTCAAGACATAAGTGAGAGCAGAGATCTCAAAGTTAGGAAAATACCCTCTTATGCCAGTTACACTACCCCAAAGCACATCTAGAATGCAGCTGAATTACAGCACACCGCAATTCACCATTACACACTTGTGATCTGCACCAAGACCTGTTTTTAGCACACTGAGGTGTGTTACAGACCACTCATTTAAAAAAAAAAAAAAAAAATGCAACAGACAAAAATACTGCAGATATATCTTATGTAGGGAAAACCGTGACTGTAAAGTAAAATAACATGCTACACTTACCTGCTCTCTGCAATGGTTTTGACCAATGAAAGGTTTTACCCTAATCCAGAGAATGCATTAAAGCGGAGCTCCACCCAAAAGGGGAAGTTCCGCTTTAAGGACTGCTCCCCCACTCCCCATTAAGGATTGTAACCCTTGACAGGTCCCAGAAGACTACAGGACCATTCAGGAAGTGCAGCGCTACTCGTGCATGCACAGTGGGTACCAGCTGTGAAGCCGCAAGCTGTCACAGCCAGGTGCCCACACTGAAGATGCCGGCCTCCTGTAATACAGGACGGCGGGTGAAACGGGCTGATGGGGACACACCACGGGACCAAGGGACAGGTAAGTGGCTGTTTTATTTTTTGACAGGGTGAGTGGAACTCCGCTTTAAGGTTAAAAAAAAAACCTTAAGCCTTTACAACCACTGTAATGTTTGCTTTTTTAAATTTATTTTTATTTATTTTTTAACAGTAGTTAAAATGAGTTGGAATAGAGGACAAGTCGCACATTTTAGGCAGACTGCCTGAGCGGTATGACACAGCAAGGGTTAATTGACTGTTCAGAGCTATCTCTGCCTGGTCATCTGAAATCTCCTCAGGTATATTCCCAGCAGGACGTTTATCACACAGTAAGCAACACAAGCAAACAATCTGGGCAGAGTCTAGCCTTTGTTTAGGACCAGCCTCTTCCTGTGTTATTCAAGCTTTTGTGTGAGAGCTCTCACAGAAGCAGAAGCAACCACAAGCAACAAGCAATACACAAGAAGCTCTGGATTTTCTTTCTGCTTCAAACTTTGCCTTGTGTGCTATACCTACTCAAGTTTTCTACAGGAAACTTTGCTGGACAGCAGCAGCTGAAGAGTCCTCCTCTGAAGTTTGTATATTCAACAGAAACAGGCAAGACTGAAAATATACCTCGCTTTCTCAGCAATTGATCCTGTGCTGCTCTGATCACAGTATGTTTAACCTACCACCACCCGGAATAAAAGGTGCAGAGCTGTTAAGGTAATAGATATTTCTGGAACGGAGGATTCTAAAGAAGTCACAAGCACAAACTGTGGAGATGTTAAGGAGTGCAAATCTGCAAGTGGAACGTACAGTGCATTGTGGAAACGAACAAACGGGAAAATCTACCAAGTGATACCCAGTGCTGGTTTGCGACAATTCCTGCTGGACCTCACAGCCCTGGATGATTGCAAGGGGAAGCTCCAAGCTGGCCGCACGTGTGCACAGGTAAAAGATTGGTGACCAGTAAATACAACAAAGGGCTGGTATATTTGCCTAGCGTGTCTGGACTATCATTGAAAATGGTAAACAACAGTACAACGCACTGCCCAGTGGATGACGAATTTAAGTACATCCTGTATGGATGTATATTTAGCATGGTGTTTGTGCTTGGCCTGATTGCAAACTGTGTTGCTTTGTACATCTTCATCTGCACCTTAAAAGTGAGGAATGAAACAACAACATACATGATAAATCTAGCTATTTCTGACCTCCTCTTTGTGTTTACACTGCCTTTTCGGATTTTCTACTTTGCGGCAAGGAACTGGCCTTTTGGAGACATACTGTGCAAGATATCAGTGACTCTGTTTTACACAAATATGTATGGAAGTATCTTGTTCCTTACTTGCATCAGTGTGGACCGTTTTTTAGCAATCGTACATCCATTTCGGTCAAAGACCATCAGGACAAAAATGAAGGCAAAAGTTACGTGTGGGCTTGTTTGGCTCATTGTGATCACAGGCAGTGTCCCTGCAAGTTTCTTCCGATCAACAAACACAAAGAATAACAGCTCTTCAGAGACATGCTTTGAAAACTTCTCTGAGGATACCTGGAAAACCTATCTATCAAAGATTGTCATTTTCATTGAAATAGTAGGTTTCTTTATCCCCCTCATACTTAATGTCTTCTGTTCAACAATGGTTTTAAAAACTCTGAAGAAGCCAGTGACATTAAGCAGGAGCAAGCTCAACAAAAGGAAGGTGCTGTTGATGATCGTTGTTCACTTGGTAATCTTTTGCTTCTGTTTCATACCCTATAACATAAATCTGGTGCTTTACTCACTTATGAGAACTCAGGCTTTTAGCAACTGCTCAGTGCAGTCAGCAGTCAGGACCATGTACCCCATTACACTCTGCATAGCAGTATCAAACTGCTGCTTTGACCCCATTGTTTACTATTTTACATCTGAGACTATTCAAAATTCTATCAAAAAGAGGAACCGTCCTATGAGGAAGGATTCACGTTTCTCTGAAACCATTGGATCAGACAATTTTATTCAGCATAACTTACAGTCTCTAAAAGCAAAAATATTTGAGAATGAGTCTACCATATGATAAATGGCAGCTTGCTATAGTAAGTGGCTTTAGGCACTAACAAGCTAAATACTGTTTATACTAAAACTGTTTTACTGTACCATCACATGGCATATCTGTTTGGGGAAACAATGAGAAACCCTAAATGAATGTTAGGAAGTCTTTGGAACTTTTGCACAAGGTGGACGTATAGAGGTTACAGGGGTCTAGTGTTTTGTAATGCATGTCACTTTAAATGATAACATCTGTTGGGGGATGGACAAATCAGGATACACATGTTGCAAAATGGTGGGCTCTTTCTGGTTTAAAACAGGAAAAGCTAACTAAAACGTCAGCATAAAAAAAATGTCAGTCCATGTCCTCATACTTCACTGGAGATCTGGATCATCCTAATATACATTAACAATTTAAATTTTTAAGAGTATTTTTCTAAAACAAATCCACTGCCTGTCACTCTGAAATAGAGATTGTTCCTTAATAAAATGGGTGCAGCCTTGGCTTCTGATCTCCAAACTGCAGCTAAAGTCCGCCATAGTCTTGTGTTTAAAACATGTGAGAAATAGTTGAGTTGCTTTCACCTCAACAAGCATGAGGATAAAAAAAAAAAAAAAAGAAAAAAGAATTTTGCATCCACTTAGTTGTTAGGAGGTTTCAGTATTTGCATGAATGGCTGCTGTTCACATATAGTATAAATATTTAAATTTGTTGTTGCTGAACGATTTACAAAGCAGCCAAGCTCTATCTGCATATTTGGGAGTAAAAAAGTTGTACTAACAATATCCTTCTTATAGAAGGCAAATTAATTTAGTATATTACTGAATACTAGAACTGCATTTTACATGCCAAATGCTCTTTACAAACACTGTATATGTAAATTTAAATCTATTCTCTACTCTATAGTGACTGAATTGTGAATATATTTAAAGTTGGCACTTTAGACACAATGAAATGGTCAACTGCTGTTTTGTTCTATTAAAATATTGTCTTCAGAAGTAAAGGCTTTACAGTTGGTAATTCCTAAAATTGTTGCTCACTATTTAAAAATATGTGCATTGCGTACTATGGCGCACAGTTTGAACAATTTAGCTGGACCTATAAGGCTGGCCATATACTCTTCAAATTCGACTATCATAGTCATCATCCATAAATAATGAAATAACACAAAGTACCAGTCACAGTGTTGGCAACAAAAATTTTCAGCATGCTGGCAAATTTCTGAGGATATTTATTATACGGTTTCCTTTTCTATGCAAAATGGAAATGTTATTGTCAAGCATGCATTCATTGTTTCAGGTGTTGCATGCATCTATTGCTCAGATTATGACAAGGGCAGTCACAATTAACTCTTATGAAGTTGGCAGAGATTTACTAAAACTAAAGCACTCAGAATCTGGTGCAGTATGGTAGCCAATCAGCTTCTAACTTCAGCTTGTTCAATTAAACTTTGACAATAAAACCTGAAAGCTGATTGGTTACTATGCACAACTGCACCAGGTTTTGCACTCTCCAGTTTTAGTAAATCTCCCCATCAGTCAAGTGATACGGTAAAGAGGGCACTGCTCAAAAGAGCTCTCATTCTAGAAATGGCAAGAAGCAAGGTGTGGCAGCATGGAAGAAAAACAAGTGGTGACTTGAATTTGTAATAGTCACCTAATTTGTGTGCAGTTTAATGAAAACTTCAGATGTGCCAAAGTAAAAGGAGCTAGATTTGCCATACGAGAGACCATTTACACCAGCTCAGTCCACTGCACTCCATACATGCATATTAAATCAAAGCCAGCACTCCTTCATGCTTGTATTATATATTAAAAAAAAAAAACACACACACACTAATAATAAAACAATTATAATGTATATATTATTTAACTGAAAAGGTTACAGTTACTAGCTGTTCAATTTATGACTGTCATTCTAGTTCAATTGAGACATTTTTCAGGCCCAGCCCTTCAGTGTCCTAAATTCCTTTTTTTTTTTTCATTATCTTTAGCAATCAACGTAAATATCTTTCAATATCTACAAATGATGTCTTTGTGCATTTTGCTGACAGGTCAGCATGAATGTTTAACTGGATGCTGTTAGGAAAGACAGGAATTGTGTAAAACAGGGGCCTGTGATGAATCACTTTGTGAAGGAGTTTACAGCGGAAAGGTTTTACTCACTGGGAACGTCTGCTCTGTTAAGACATGCCAAAGATGCATGATCACTAAGTTCAAGCAACTCCTTTTCCTTAGGGCAAATGGAGGAAAAAGGTGATGAGCACATGCAGGTCACTGTTCAAGTGGTTTATTCAGCTGAATTCTCTTCTCATACCATCCACCCACGTGCGTTCACTAATCAATTCAAGCCCTGGTCCTGCAGAAGTTATTGCTCTTAGAACAAAAGCCTTCCTGCTGCAGGGTGTTTGCCCCGCCAAGCAGCTTGTGTCAAGCTCCTGTAATTTGCTTCATCTATATGGGGCAGCACAGAAAACTACTTTAAAATGTAATTGAAGTAATATACAAACATTTTCTACATATTAGAACTTAGATTTGTTGTAGATGAGTATTACTCTTTCTACATTTATTTAAGAAACGCTTACAAATATAATTCTAAACTTTTCTGGTGTGCTACCGTATTGAATAAATAGAAGCCTTGTCCACAGGTTTGTCTCCATTTACTGTAGCTTCTACACATTTCGTGTTGTGCTGAAGTGTTGAATCAAAGATTTCATAAAAGTGACAAAATTTATTTTTTTTACTACGGATTACACAGGAATGCCAGTAAGAATTGAGAAAGTAACAGGAATTTTTGCATGGCTTGTCTTGCAACAGTGTAAACTTGCCTTACATGTGGCAGATTTACTGTAATGAACAATTACAGAGTTTATGTTTTGGCAGTGTAATGTCCCTTCAGCTGACCTGGTGCACAATTGTTTGCATTCAGCAAAGCTCATTTCAAACCTGAAAGAAGGTCTCAAGGCCCCTCTATGGCCACTCATTCACCAAATCTATAGGGGGCAACACGGCAGAAAGTCCTTCATTCAAGCTGCTTGTACTAATAATTTTTTCTACCCTGTATATCGTTACTCCACAGCCTATTCAATCAATGTGGGTTAACAGGACACATGAATTCGACCCCCCTGTGTTCTGGTGACTTCATTTCTCTAGTTCCTCTGGCTCTTTGTACCATCATTCAACAGAACTGGCAGTGTAGAGCAAAACATCTGTGTGTACACAGCATAACAGACAAGCAGATGAAGACAAAATGGGTCTAATGTACTAAAATGGCTCATCCTTTGCAAGTGAAACTACATGAAATGGTTCTCGTTAATCAGAAGGTCCTGAAATATGAATTGTACAAAGCACATAAAAGTCACAATGTTTTTGCTAAAAAAAAAAACAAAAAAAACAAAAATCTACTACACTTTGCAGGTACACTTCTCTGAAGCATTACAAAAACAAAACATGTGAAGTAGGTCATGTCTACTTTTACTTTGTATGTTGTTTTCATGCTTCAAGTGCGCTTTCCTGAAGCATTGCAGAAAACAAACCAAACAGAACATCATGAAATCTAATATGTAAAAATACTATAACACTTTTTTTTTTGTGTGACAAGAAATGTGAATAGCTGTTAAGATGACTATATATAATACCAATTTTATGGCAATTTTAGAAGTGTTGCATAAAAGCTCTAATTGGGCTACACCATCCTGACAAGGTTTTTACATAGTCTCATACTTTCAGGCAACCAATCAATTGAATTAGGATTAAAGGATAAGTTCACCTTTTGGATACAAATAATAAATGCACATTTTTTTTGCAGGTAAAAAAATGTGCATTTATTATTTTTGTCCAAAGGAGCCTGGAAAGCATTGCCCCAGCGATCAGTAGATTGCTGATACCATGCAGGTCTCCTGCAGACCTGTCAGAATATCTGCTAGTCGTATTACAGTTAACAAGATATTCTGACAGGAAGCTTGAATGAACTACCAGGGCACTCCACAGTGCTGTGGTAGTTCGTTGAAAACTACAAGCAGACAGACAATAAGGCTACCGGGACTTGTAGGCACTCATTCACAGAACTCTGTGAATGAGTGATGTGGCCGTGTGGGTGGAGCCCCGCACGGCCATGCTGTTTTTAAAGTGGAAAGATAGTACGGGGAGACTTCTCCCTGTACTATCTGTCAAGGGGGCGGGGGCTGAAGTACAGTTTTAAACCTGAACTCCAGGCAGGTATGAAAGACACACATTAATAAGTTCTGTATTCATTTAAAGTGATTGTAAAAGCTGATTTTTTAAAAATAACAAACATGTCACACTTACCTGCTCTGAGCAGAGGTATTACATGGAGCAGCACCAATCATCCTCTTCTCGGGTCCCCCGCCTGGCCCCTCTTCTCCTGCCAAGTGCCACCACAGCAAGCAGATTGCTATGGGGGCACCTGAGCAGGCTCGCCCCTGAGCCTCTGCTCTGTGTGTCCATTCACATACAGACACGGCTCTGCCCTATCCCCCACTCTCTCCTCAATGGCTCACTGGCTGTGATTGACAGTAGTGTAGGAGTATCACAAACTATTTTTTATTGCTCTCTGGCGACAACTGTTGCCAAGAAAGAGAATAAGGGGAAATTCTAAATTTTGGAGTTCTCCCTAGAACAAGGGGTGAAGGGAAAATCTTTGACTAGGAACACCTGTTCAGCTGTCTAAGAGAGGAATTTCCCTAACTTTGGGAGATTACCTCTAAGTTTTTATTGTAGGAAATTAAGGAATATTTTCCCAATGGTATAAAAACCACAAAAATAAAAAAAAGCCAGAGGTTTTTAACCCTTCACCACTTTATCCTTAATGTGAAAAAATGGCTATGTATACAGTTTAAAACAACATTTAGGACCCATTCTCATCTGTCATCTCACACTTTAAAGGATAAGTTCATCCTTGGGAACATGTTACATGTTCTACCTGTTTTTAGGAAGACCTCTGGCTGCAAACTTTGCAGTCTCTGTACATAGGCATTCAGAGCCTACTTTTCACTAAGACTGCAGAAA